TGAAGGAGGTGGATGAAGAAGAGGAAGGACCGCCACTGCAAAACAGTGGGCAGCACAACGGCAGCAACAGTGATGAGATGGAGAAGAAGATTTCGGAGTGGGTCGCCAACTTATCCCTGGGTGAGGAGGAAGAGGTTGCTATGTACATCCCCAAGGATGAGCAAGAAACCGCTATGAAGAAATGGGAAGCAGAAGAAGATGTTCTGACGCGGCGGGCGATGGAGGATGAACAGAGGATGGCGTGGAAGCTCACAGTGATGAGGGAGAAGAAGAGAAGAGTGGAGGCGGCGAATGCAGCAATGCAAGAACTAGCAGAGGTGAGGACTGCCTTAACAACACAATTGACTCCGCAAGTAGATCTCCAACGCAAAGTGGAGATCATTGCCCAGAGCGTTGACCGGTTAGCTAAAGTGCAAGAAAAGCACTATGAGTTTAGTCGCAGCCAGGAGATATCCGTGCCTTCGATGCGAACGGGATTACGGGATTTTGCTCGCGAACTAGTAGGCGTTGTGGGATCCGAGGTGAGTCATCGCCTCGAGAAGACTGAGCGTTTTTGTGTTGGCGCCATCGAAGGCGTCAAGGTGGCCGCTCCCAAGGAGGAGGAAGCCCGTCCTCGCAGGGAGCCAGTCAAAGTCAAATTCCCTGATTCCTACACTGGGAAAAGGGATGAGAACTTTGACAACTGGGAAGCTAACGTTAAAACCTATGTGCACTTGCAACAGGTCTCCCCGGATCAGCAGGTTCTGATTGCGATCCACGCGCTAAGAGATGAGGCCGCCAGTTTTGCAAGGTCCCTAGTTCGCGCTGCCAACTGTAGTGATGATCCCGTTGCGTACTCCTCATTTACGTCCCTCACTGAATTCCTGAAGCTGCTGCGCGAGCGATTTGCTGATGTCGCTCGCAGTGTCAAGGCCTCAGACAAGCTCCAAACCATCCATTCTCGTAAATGGAAGAGTGCCAGGGCACTCAAGGGCGATTCCCTTAGCCGTGAAGTGGTGGCTTTTGAAGCGAAGTCCGTGTCCCTGTCTACCTTCTCGCACAAGGACTTGGACAGGGGAAAGCAATGGAAAGGTCGCACAATCTCAGGGAAGGTAAAGACTAAGGACAGCCTTGTCCTGACTTTAGATGTAGTGTGGATGAGATCCCCTACGATCAGATTGAGTGGGGGCTAGAGGAGGAGGACAGCGGTGTGGGCCAGGGGAGATCCTACGCTGCTGTCGCGGCTGGAGGGAGGCCGCAAGGAAGAAGAGGCCAGGGCCAAGGGGGCCGGGCCTCAGGGAACCGATTCCAGGGCGATCAGGGGGTTGGCGGCAGAGGAGGAAACCGCCAAGCGGGAGGTAGGGGTCAAGGTCCCTCGCAAAACCGTCCTAGGAATAGGTCTCCCTATAGAGTAGGAGGATGGCACCCAGGGCTACCTCAGGGTAGGCCGTGGGAATCTTTGGGTCTGGACCAGGCCTTATGGCAACAACGATTGAACAGGGGCCAGTGCATTTTCTGCGGTGACCCGGGGCATATCATCAAATATTGTCCTAAGTATCGAGAGACCCGAACGGCTGCTCGAGAGCCAAAAGGCAGCCGCCGGTAGGGGTAGCAACTGCCC